TTTTTTTGGTTTTTCTCCGGTACCAGGAACCGAACCCACGACCTTGCGCTTGCCAGGCAGGCGCTTTGCCGCTGAGCTAAATCCCCAGCCCCAACTAAATCCCCAGCCCCTAGACAGGCTTTTGTTTGTTCTAATGTGACAACTAGGTCAGTGATGGCGAAACTTTTAGAGGTATCAGTGTTAACCAACAGCCCGCACAGCCCTCACGCCATAGATTCGCCACCAGTGCACCAGGCTACTGCAGATGAAATAATCTAGAAAAAAATACAAGAGTTGGCACTGGCATACAATGAGTATGGAAAGAGGCAGGGCAGACACCACGTGCAAAGGTCATACAGCAGGAGAAACCTTAGCTCACGTGAGAGCAGTGTGGCTGAAATGACCAAGGGAGAAGAAGAGATACCCTAAGGTGTGTTTGGATGTAGAGGCGTAATGGTATGATGCAAAGTCAGTGCATGAAGTTTAGATTCTATTCTGAAGTCTGTGAAAAGCAATGTTTCAATCTGATATAAGTAATCTGATTTACTCCTGATTTAGAAGATCCTTCTCCAGCTGGGCAAAGTGGTACACACTTGTAATCTGAGCAGTCTGGACCCTGAGGCAGGAGGGTCCCTGTGAATCTCAGGTTAGTCTGGCTACGTAATGAGTTCAAGGCCAGGCTAGTCTACATAGTGAGAACTTCTCTCAAAATACATACATACATAAAAATAAAAGGTCCTTCTCATTGCTGAACAGAGAATAAAGACAGATGGCCACTTAGGCTACTAGTATAGTCCCAGGGAGATGTATAGCCACAGAATTTAGAGGAAAGGGCCTTGGATATAGCTCAGAGGCACAAGCGCCTGCCTGGCAAGTGAAAGGTCCTGAGTTCAATTCCCAGTATCAAAAAAAAAAAAACACCACAGAATTTGGAGGAAAGTGTTGAAACACATTTAGAATTGTCAGCTCAAAGATCATGGCTTAATCAAATGATGAGAGGTTAGGGACCACACTGAGACGTGTTCTGATGTGACACCAAGGACACAGCATTTTTATCATATGTAGGATCTGACTAATCATAAGAAAACTCCAACTGACCCCATTGAGACAATCCATAGAAGCTAGCCTGTTCTCCCAAAACATCAGTATGAAAGGTGTAGGGAATGTTACAGATTTAAAAAGAAAGGAGACCTGAGACCTACATCCAATTTGTGCTGGACACAAATTTGTGGTGCGTGCCTGTAATCCTAGCACTTGGGAGGCTGAGGCAGGAGGATCATCTTGAGTTTGAGACCAGCCTGGGCTACAAAGTGAGTTCAAAGCCAGCCTGAACTGCACAGCAAGCTCCTGTCTCAAAAAGACAAAAAAAAAAAAAAAAAAAACAAAGGCCAGCCTAAATTACAGAGCGTGACCCTTTCTCAAAAAAACAAAAGTCTAATTTGTAATTCTCCATTAGATCTTGGGCCAGGAAAAATGTTCTTTCCCCATTTGTTCCAAAGGACCTGAGTGAAACAGGCATGATCATGCACACCTGAAATCCCAGCACTCCAGAGGCCGAGGAAGAGAGGCTTACAGAGAGAGTTCACGGCCAACCTGAACTACATAGCAAGACCCCCTTCTCAAAAAACAAACCAAAGGCCCTAAGTGAGGTGACCGATGTGATTAAGGGCTGTGTATTAGGCAGTATTACTGCATCTGTGTTAATTTCCCAATACTAGTAACTGCATTGACGATGTAAGAGAACGTCTTTTTTTGAGACACATTTAAGAGTGTAGAGCTAAAAGGACATCATGTTTGCAATTTCTTCTCAAATAGTTAGAATAAGGGGACAGACAAAGCAAACGCAAAATGTTAACATTTGGGCATCTACAAAGGCTTATGGGAATTATTTGTACTACGTTAGCAACAAACGTCTGAATCACTTTAAAGGTCAACAAAGTTACTGCGATCGCGTAGGGAGCGTGAGGAGCCCCCCGCCCCCAAAAGCCTGATACTAAGTTATGAGTACCATCCGGAGTGCTGAGTGTTGGAAGACAGAATTTATTTATTTATTCATTTATTCATTCATTCATTTATTTATTTATTTTTGCTCTTTTTGAGACAGGGTTTCGATATGCAGCTCAGGCTGGCCTTGAGCTCACTCTGTAGCCCAGACTGGTCTCGAACTCGCAACGATCCCCCTGCTTCAGCCTCCCCAGTGCTGGGATTTCAGGCGTGCTCCACCACGCCCGGCCTGGAAGACAGAATTTTAAAAAGGTAGTGAGACGCACAGTTCCAGAACGTCAAGCCCCTGCTCGTGCTGACCTTAGAGTCAGAAACGCCCCTCCTGCGACTCCCCTGTCCCCACCCCAGGAACCCAGCCCGCCGCACGTGCCGCCGGAAGTACGCCCAGCCAGATCCGCCATGTTTTCCAGGGAGCCTGCGGAAGATACGCACGCCAAGCACGCACGCCCGGCCAATCAGCACACACGTCGGGACAGGCACGCGGGGGCGGGGCTCCTGCTGCACATGCGCAGGGCTGCGCGGGCCTCTTTCCTTCCTTCTCGCCGCACGCCGCCGACATGGTGAGTGTCGCCGTCCCGGGCTCCGCGACCGCGGTCGTGCGGCTCGGCCTCCCTCTCGGCGGGGAAGCTGGGGCGCAGGGTGGCGCCCAGGGGGTCCCGGGAGCGCGTGGGGAGCCCCCGGGCTGCCTCGGGTCGCGGGGCGATG